AGTTTGGAAAGAGTAACCGGTGATGAAGGAAAAAAGGAGTCGACCACTTTCTTGGAACACAAACCTAGAGTGAACAAGAACAGATTCAATCAAGAAAGAGGGGAAATCAAACTAAACAAGATGTTGCACAGCGGCTGCACGGCGGAGGGCTCCTTGAACAACTCAAAATTCAACGATCCGATGCCATGGATTGGCATCTATGTAGCAGCAGCATCATTAATATGCGCCGTAGCCATGGCCATGGATGCCCTGCATGGTTTCAGGTACAAGAAATTCTGGTTTCCTTGCAAATTCTTCACCCTCAATGCCACGACTCTTACTGTTATAGCAATCGCCATCAAGTTTTCTGTCGATCTGAATGCCGCCATGCCCCGTCGCCAAGATCAGCTAGCAAAAGTCAGCAGCTCGGCCTTCATATGTATGGTGATGGGTAACTTACTGCCTTCTTTAGGAATCATGGAAGATACTGAACTCATGATGAACATTATAGCTTTGGGGATTCTTGTCATCACTGCCATCACCAACATCTGTATACAAATGGGTACCGGAGTTATCTTTGAATTTTGGATAGAACATGCTGTGATCATGCTTCTTATGCTTATTTTACTTGCGATCTTGTGTTCTTTATCAATAGCCATCCCAACTAAAAAGTATTATTTGGATATAACTTACGAAAAGAAAGCCAAAAAAGCCAAAAAAGTTTGTTTCACTCGAAGAAATTTATCAATATCCGAGAGGCTACCACAAGATTTAGCCAAGTATTGGATGATGGCATATACCTCTAGTCCGCAGTTTGTGATAGGAAGATCCGCACCATGTTCAGCTTCAGGAGCTTTTTGTCTTTTCAACATGCTCATCTTAGTAGAATCCCTACTCAGAACTCGCCTCATGCCTTGGTCTTTTAGATTTTGCAATGGAGATTCCGACTACAAATGGTCGACTACCCTTGTGCTCATCAGCCAAACAGTCGCAGTTGCAGTAGGCACAATTTCACCAGCTTTTAGATGGTTCATGACTATCAACTTCAGGTGTCCAAAAAAGGCAGAAAAGGCTTGTGTAAGTGAGTTTGTTGTGGAAAGGTATTGGATAAAGAGGCTGGTGATGTGGCAGGTTCAGCCATTGAATTTCAGAATCTGTAATCGGCGTTTAAGAAAACAGCTTCATGGTGCAAAATTTCAAATGTTCGGTTTGTGTATACGTGGTCAAAAGGCTCTGGTTTTTTCATGCAAGATGATCAGGTTTATTTCTATTTTCTTTGTCGGGAGGTTCTTGAGGTTATACAAGTTCATTACAAGAGATAACAGTGTGTCTTGTAGTGACTCGGAGATTGAGTTCAGGCATAATGACAATATGGATCTGAGTCATTATGTGATTTATCTTGATGGAGAAGAAGGATTGGTGGATTTGATGACGGAAAACAATAGCGATGCCACTGCTCACTGGATCAGAATGGGAGAGAAGCAGCAGCCAAGAAATCTGATAAAACTTTTAGAGCAGTCAAAATGTTCGAGTCTCTTCAAAGGAGTACAAGAGTTCGATAGTGATAAAGTTCCATCGTTGGGCTGTGGAGAACCTCCAAATTGTTGGGCTCTCCCCATTGTGACATTGACAAGCATCGCAATTGCAATCCCAAATATTGATCAAGAACAAATCGAGCAATTAGTTTGTGGTGTAGATGAAGGCCTCAAGTACGTCTGCAAGATAGAAAATTACATGGACAACAAAACCGAACTGAAACATGTCAGGAAAACAGCAGAAATAGTCTGGGCGGAAGTTGAACTCTACAACAAGTGGTTAGACGTTGATCTTTGTAAGCTTGCAAATCAAGGAGGAACAGGGGGAGAAACCGAAACCGAAGTTATCAAATTACTTGCTGATATCGGAAAGGGAAAATTCATGGAATTTGCGGATAAAGGCATGATGTTTATGAACGAGTGTTTAAAGGAGGTCCCATCACGATGGCCCATGAAGGTGTTGGCAGCAAATTCCATGTATAGAATATGTGAAACGCTGTTGTTGGAGAAACATGAAACCAGTGAGAGACTATTTGAGAAGATATCTCTCACGATCTGTAATATTTTAACAGCCGCTTTGACTAATCTGCAACATGTTATTATCAGCAAATGCCATCAGAGTCCGATTGAGGAAAGGGAGAAGAGTATCAGAAGTGCAGTTCTCCTTTTCGGGAAAACGAAAAGGATATTAGAAGTTATTGATGGAAAAAGGCTTCAAGATTCGGATCATGGAAAACTTATACACATCGATGACTGGCATCTAGTGAGCAAGCAGATGGATCCACTGTACTCGATGTCTTCTTCTTCAACAGATCAGGATACAGCTGTCTCTAGTCCATCTGATCACATGTATATATTAGTTGAGTAATATAGAAAGATCTATATATCTTTATAAATGTTGGCTATTAAGTAAACATGATGCTCCAAGAATTTATTTATATGCTTATAGTTAACGGCTTTCCTTGAAGATAACAATAATCTAGCTTCTTGAAACACTTCAAGTTATGTTGCAAAATCATGTTGAACCTTTGTGGGCTTTTTGGACTATATATATAATAATCTCAAGTTGTACAATCAAAATGCATGACGAATTTTGTGTTTCACCCTTGCTTCAGCATCCATGGAAGTTCCCTCGATAGAAAGTTTGAGTTAGAGAACTCCTTAACTAGGTATTTTATGTTTACCGGAACTAGCCCTAGCTACGTAGATTGCAATGACAAAGATCAAGCACTTTGATAAACATACTAAAACACGATCACACGACAGTTAAAAATGTGAAGAAAATAAAGAACATATGAAATTTACTTGTTTTATTAGATCAGAGAAATCAAGTTATGTTCACGAACGAACTAAAGAGAGATTTTATTAATGATAGTCGTTACATGCTTTCCGCGTTAGGGTTACACTCGTACAAGGGGACTCTAAATATAAGGATGAGTTGACCTAAAATTATATTTGGTATAGGCCTAAGGAAAAGTTGTCAGCTAGTAAGCCAAGTATCTAGACCGCAATTGCAGTACGATGGTTTCCAGAACTGCAATATGTTGAACACTACAGTGCCCTTGTAGCCATGCATCACAACTACCCTACAAGCTTACTCTCGCAATTGTGGTCTAACCATGAAGCTTATGATTTTGAAGTCAGAGTGAATATATTAGGCCAAAGGGAAGATCATATTCCACAAGTCAGACACAAAGGTGTTGATTTCATGGAAGCATTTAGTTCGCAACCTCAGCACTATAAAGATTTAGGTAACTCTTTGTGGATGATGTTATATGGTACGATAAAAACCATGAAGGATATAATGATGAGGTAAAAGCACTAGCCCATTGACCTTTCATATCAAACATTTTGTATGCAAATGTATAACATGTTGGCGAATTTAGCATCATCAAGCATTTTGCATTTGAGTTATTGGACTCTACACAAGTGCCAAGTGGAGTTTAGACTACAATCTTATGTGAGCTAGGTGGTGCATAATGTTGGGTGACAACTAAAACAATTTAAACACTTCAGACAAATATCAAACAAACTTTGATGAACTTTGTGGAAATAAAACTTCCGAAAAACGTAAATCAAGTGAACACAATATTTAATGTCGTTCAGTCAAGATGACCTACGTCCATGGGTGAATGAGAGAGAGAGAGAGAGAGAGAGAGAGAGAGAGAGGTGGGGGGGGGGGGGCTTTGTTAACTTTTTGGAACTACTACAAACAAGAAAAATTGTATCTCACTTTTAGCTATCATTGAAATCTAGAAACTGACAATGATGGGGATATGAGTCCATTTATAAACAAGAATGAGAAACCATAATTCTGATGACCAGATCCATCCATAATTAACCCATAAAGGGGATTCCTTAAATTCCAACCAATCACTGAATGACATGTGAGAACTTCTAGAATCTTCAAACTCATGAGCATCTTATATAAGCATCACCCATGAGCATTGTCCATGAGCATCATCCATAAGCATCTTCCATGAGCATCATCATATAGGCATCTTTAATGAGCATCACAGCATGAGCATCTCCAATAAGCATCATTGCATGATCATATTCCATTAGCATCATCCGTTAACATCTTCCATGAGCATTATCACATGAACATCTTCAATGAGCTTCATCTGTGAGCATCTTCGATGAGCGTCTTCCTAGAGCATCGTCGCATGAGCATCTTCCTTGAGGATTATCCATGAGCATTACCGCATGAGCATCATCCATGATCATCATCGTACAGACATATTCAATGAGCCTCATCGCATGAGCATCATGCATGAGCATCATCGCATGATCATATTCCATGAGTATCATCCGTTAACATCCTCTATGAGCATCTATGAATGAGCATCTTCCATGAGCTTTGTTCGTGAGCATCTTCAATGAACATCATCGCATGAGCATATTCCATGAACATCATCGCATGGGTATCTTCCATGAGCATCATCTGTAAGCATCTTCCATGAGCATCATCTCATGAGCATCTTTCATGAGCATCATCCGTGAGAATCTTCCATGAGCATCTTCCATGAACTCCAAGTGCTCCATGCTGGACAAGACTTCATACCCCAAAAATCTCTCACTTGAAGGCTTGAACAATTTCATCTACCATCCAAATTTCTCTGTTCCTTAAAAATACTCCCTCACACACGCACACACACGCTCTCTCTCTCTCTCTCTCTCTCTCTCTCTCTCTCTCTTTCTCTTGCCAAACTCTTCTCTTTAAACTTTTGGAAGGCTAGTTGAATCCATGCAAAGCTTCAACTTCTCAGTGGTAACCACTTTGCCAAACTCCTATCAAGATCACCTATGAAGGTGTTAGCAACAAATTTCATGTATAGAATATGTGAAACACCTTGGGAAGATATCTATCACGATATGTAATATTTTAACAGTAGATTTGACTAACCCGCAACATGTTATTACCAGCAAATGCCATAAAATTCCAATTGAGGAAAGAGAGAAGAGCATCCGCAACACTGTTCATCTCTATAGTAAAACAAAAAAGATATTAGAAGTTATTGACGAAAAATGGTTTGAAGATTCGGATCATAGGAAACTTATATACGTGGATGAATGGAATCTAGTGAACAAGCAGATATATCCATTGTACTTAATGTCTTATTCTTCAACAGATCAGAAAACAATTGTATCTAGTATGTCTAATCACATGTATATATCAGTTGAATAATATTGCAAGATCTATGTTTATAAATGTTAGATATCAAGTAAGCATGATGTATCAAGAATTTACTTGTATACTTATAGTTAAAGGTTTTTTATGAAGATAACTATGAACTTCTTGATGCACTTAAAGTTATATGTTGCAAAACCATGTTGCACCTGTGTGGGCTATTTGGACTATATGTAATCTTGTGTTATACAATCAAAATACATGATGAATGTTGTGTTCCATCATTTCTTCAACATCCATGGACGTTCCCTTGATAGAAAGTTTAAGCTAGAGGGCTATTTAACTAGCCATTATACGTTTTCTAAAATTTGAGTCAAAACTAGCCCTAGCTACGTAGCTTACAATGAAAAAGTGTTAGGATTAAGGACTTCGATACACACACAACCCACAATCACATGAAAAGAAATATGGGAAGAAAATAAACAACATAAGAAATTAACTTGGTTTATTATATCGGATAAATTGATCTAGGTCAACGAACGAACTAAACAAATATTTTATTAACGATATTTGTGATACATACCTTCTCGTTAGGGTTACATATGCACAAAGATGATCTATTTATACAAATGAGTTGACCTAAATCTATTGTCAGTTAGGCCAAAGGATCTATCACTGCAGTTGCGGTATGTCAGACTCTATAGTTACGGTAATGTCAAACATTATAGTGCCTCTGCAGGTTACCCTATAACAATACTCCACAACCATCCTAAAAGCATACTTTTCGGTCTTACCATATAGCCAATCTTGGCAATTGCAGTCCTATGAACGACTTTGGATTTTGATGTTGAAACGGATATATAAGATCAAGGGGAATATTAGACTCCACAACTTAACATAGATGTGTTGTCTTCAAGGAAGCATGGGTTAACAATGTTAAGACCATGACGATCTAGATGAACTCTTTCTACTTAAGGTTATCAAGTTTAATCGACCAACTTTTTTACATACAATCTATTCTTCTTAGTCTATGTATTAACTTGTGCATGTTATTTAAATGGATGTTTTAAGTCCCACATACTATATGGTTAGTCATGATTTTAATGCTAAACTAATACTAAAATTTATGTGTACTTTGTTGTATGGTGTATCCGTTTTTTTAATAATACATATACACATTTTAAATTCTACTTCTAAACAACTTCTTTTGTCCATGATGGGACTTTAACCATCAGCCCCTTCGGGGAGGAACACATTTTCAAACACTTTCATACAACTAGGCAATGCCTTCTGGTTATATTTTTTTAGAATGGCAAAATTTTATTATGAATAAAGAACCACGAGCAAGAAGCTAGCCTAAAATAGACATCAAGTAATAGCTAAAGATGGTTTTGAAGCCACTCAAACCAGTTAATTGCTTTCTTGGACCTAGCATTACACCATAAATAAGATTGAGTAATAAACTTATCAAAACTATCTATCATTATTGACAATGTACCCATGTAATCCCTTCTTTTCATTGTCGATTCTTATTAATATAAGTTGTTGTTCCTTATGGTTTTCCTTACAAGGGTTTCCACCCATATACTGTTTTATTGGTTGTATTTTTATTGTATCACTTTATTAGCATATTTATAACAAGAGGTATCACAAATATCCTTCCAAAACCTTTTACCCTAATGGATTTTATTCATAACCACAAAAGGAATCTTTAATTTATTCTTTCTTTCATCTCATACATACCTAAATTGGTTTTACCCCTTAAAGTTTTCTAAGTCATAACTTGATTTTTATCCTAGAAACTTGTTCCTATAACCGATTTCCTTCATGATTTCCATGAAGTATATGATAATTTGATAGTATTATTGGCTTTAGATAATTATGATGATACACTAGATGATTTTAGAAACATGAGACAAATTAATTGAACTCTTTGGAGATCTGAGACATTGTTCTTATAGTATGTACCATGAATCATGCTTCCGGTGATATCCATAAATTTTTGGAAGATATTGTGTTACTTTAAAGACTTTCGGTTTTAGGAATGTTGGGATGTCAAGATCCCATCACTCCTTCATTGAAGAAAATCAATTTCAATATCATTTGGTTTCTTCACACATTTGATACCGTAAGTTATTTTGGTGTATTTAATGTCATAAGGTATTTGGGCCGCTAGGCAAATTTTGGTTAAAATACATTTAAGCACCATGACATTAAGTTGGATGTGTTTTACTTCT